TTTTAATTAAGATTTTTATATTGATAATAATTTTTATAATAATTAATACAAATTTTAAATAGATGCACAGCCTTAATGGTTCGATAGTTTTGGCTAAAATTTTAAAAAGACCAGCATTGCGTCTTTATAAACAAAGTTACAGAGCAATTTCATTTATTTAAACATGAAAATTTTTAATATACTATACTGTATGATTATTTTTTTTTATTAAAAAAAGGCAAGAAGAAAGTTTTTAATTTAGGTTCTTTTAAAGAAATTGCTCTGTAACTTTGTTCGTAACGACGTATTGCTTGTATTTGCAAAATTTTATTCAAAACTATCGAACCGTTAAGGCTGTACATCTATTTAAAATTTGTATTAATTATTATAAAAGTTATTATCAATCTAAAAATCTTAATTAATAAAATTTATTATATGACCATATATAGTTTTGATTTGCATAGTATATCGAACACCCCATTGAATTATGTCTAAATCAAGCTAGAATTACGTAAATACTTTATTAGGGTTACTCCGGAGTATCTTACTCCGTTAAAATCCCTAAATGTATATTTGGCTAAAGGAAAATACATAGTAGAAAACTCCGTTAAATTTAGTTTATAAAGAGCGATTCATCACTTTTGCATTTATGAGTTTTTTTAAATTTTTTCGAAGAGTTAATAAACAAGAACCACCACCGACCCCCAAAATGTCTTGGATACCTCCTTTTACTGATGAAATAAAAGATCCAATTTCTATTGTTAACTTGCTGGAATCAAAGCAAACGAATCTTGATCCCCCTTCTAAACCTATTACCATCTCCATTGTTGGTGCTGGGCAAAGGTATGGTCTAACTATAAATTTGTTGATTAATCTATTTATTTATAATGTTTTTTTTATGTTTGAATCTCAATTATAGAGGTTCTCTTTATGCGACTTACGCTAAAGTTGAGCCAAAATGGGCTCAAATCGTTGCTGTCGCAGAGCCTGTAGAACATCGGAGGAAAATGATGGCCAAGGTTCTTTAATTTTATAAATAAATATATATATATATATTTTAACATTTATATTAAATATTTTTTATTTCGCATGAATTACTTTTTTTAGTTGTATAATATTCCTGAAGAAAACGTATTTGCTAATTGGAAAGAAGTATGCACTTTATCGAATTTCTTATTTTCAAAATGTATTAAAAAAATTTAATTAATGATACCATAACATACATTATTTAAAGATGATTGAACGTCCAAAAAAACTAAGTGATGCAGTTATTATTTCGACGCTGGACGATCTTCACGTTGAGCCAGCAGTTGAATTTGCGAAAAAGAAATATCATATTTTATTAGAAAAGCCCATAGCCCCTAATATTAAAGACTGTGTAGAGATTACTAAGGCTGTTACAGAAAATGAGGTATTTGTATTTAATGTGTGATTCAATTTAGGCCATGATTTGAATTATAAGTATTAAGGCAAATATCTACATTATATAATTTGTTTACCGAAAAATTATAGATAATCTGTGCAGTGGGTATGTTAATAAATATTATTTCTAAATGAAACCTTTTTTTAGAACAAGTTATAATTAAATCTATATTTAGGTCATGTTTTACGGTATACACCGCACAACATTGTTGTTAAAAAGATTATTGACTCTGGGTTACTTGGAAATATTGTAAATATTCAACATACGGAACCTGTTGGATTTTGGCATTTCGCGCACAGTTATGTGAGGGGAAATTGGAAAAATGAAAAAACATCCAATTTTTCATTAATGACAAAGGTTAATATATATACATTTTTTATGAAATATTACTTATAAAATCGTCAAATTAATAATAATATTATTTTTATTAAAGTGTTGCCATGATATCGGTATATTTATTTAAAATTTTTATATATCTTTAGTGATCGCATTTATCTTCAATAATATCAAATTCTTTTTTTTGTTTTAAGATCTGATGTCTTTCTGGAATGATTCGCCATGCACGGTATGAATATATATTTGTTTATTAAATTATTATAAGATTTTTACAATAAATAATATTAATTTTAATTTATAGAAAATTAGTTCATTTGGTAGTTTAATGCATTTTAATTCAAAAAATAAACCGAAAGCTGCTGGTGATGCAAAGTAAAAAGTTTTATTTTAATTTTCATCGTACAGTATTATATAATTTTACTACGATAATTTTAATCTTAAATTCGGGGTTTTTTTATAGATATTGTTATGATTGTCCAGTCGAAAAAACCTGCCCTTATTCTGCGAAAAAAATTTATATCGATAATTGTTATGAAAAAGGAGTAAGATCGTGGCCTGTTAATGTTGTTACAGATATTGTTGGTTAGTATAATTTAATTATTATTAATTTCGTTCTTTAAAAAAAAATATAGTATATTTAATTATAAAAAACATTTTAATAAATTTAGATATAGAACATTTAGAAAAAGAATTAAAAAATGGTCCTTATGGAAAATGCGTTTACAAAAGTGATAATGATGTTGTGGATAATCAGGTATATTGAAATAATTTAAATAAGAGATTTTTACTTTTATTTTTATAAATTAATTTTATATTATGTTTATAATACTGTAATTGAAGGTAGTGAATCTCGAATTCGCCAATGGTTCAACAGCAAATATTACTATGATAGCATATACTGAAGCTATTACTGAAAGAAAGGTATGTATTGTATTTTAAATAACTGAATTATGATATAAAACTGATTTTTAATTATTTAATATAAAATTAAATTTATAAACATTATATACAGACCAAGTAAGAAATATATATATATATATTAAAAAAATATTTAATTAAAGTTTTTTTTTTTTAATAGTATTTAATTTATATTATTTAAGGATATTCGGTACATTAGGGCAAATAGAATGTGATGGCTTTAATACAATAACATATTTCAATTTCTTAACAAGAAAAAAAGAAATATTAACACCAACTACCATTCTAAATACTAAAGACCTAAGTGGTCATGGTAAATATAATTAGTTTATTAAACTCTTTCAAGAATTGATAAATTTTATTAATATATCAATTTATAATACTTTTATAGCTGGTGGTGATATGGCTCTAATGCGAGCATTTATTTGTTCTATTAAAGAATCATTAGATGCTAAAAATAGTACAAATAATTCATACATAAAAACTGATATTCAACAATCTTTAGGTAAGCTATATATATAAACTTCTAAATAATTTAAATGCCCTAATAGTTAAAATTATAAAGTTCTAATAGCTTAATGTTTGATAACTTAAAATTCTAATAGTTTCATATACTAAAATATTTCAATAACTTAAAATTCTAATAGTTTCATATACTAAAATATTTCAAAATAATTTCAAAGTGTTTTTATCTCATTTTATAAAAATTTTGATTATAAAAATTTCAATCAAATTAATAAGCTATTAGAACTTTATATTGGTTATAATTTAGATACATTAGTATTTTTGGTTTGTCAAGATTATAATATTAGGCTAATAATTATTTAATTATGAGTATAGAGAATTAGAATCTAATAGATTTTGTTTTATTAAATAACTTTAGATTCGCATTTATTAGTTTTTGCAGCAGAAGACTCACGAAAAACCGGAGAAACAGTTATAATTGAAGATTATAAAAAGATGAAAGGAATTGAATTTTAATAATTTAAGATTCATAATAATGTATTATCAAATTTAGCTATACGTTATTATTTATTATTGTATATTGAACAGTTTGAGTATAACAAATAAATTTTTCTTTTTTTTAACGTTTTACATTGACGAGTTATTATAAATTAACAGTTAAATAGTCAAGTAGCATTGTCAATAATAATGCAATATCTTGAATCCGATGCAATTAATTAAGTTTTGTACTTAGTAATTACTAGCCTCAGGGCAAGCCCAAATGTTTATGTTTAAAGACTAAGAAAATAATAAAAAGTAAAATACAAATTTACTATGTTAAACCATAAATCATTATAATTTATTTAAATACGCCTCACGCCTTTATATTTGTGCTACAGGTTTAACTGTTTATGATTGCTGATTGTTGATTGATTGATTAAGTAGGATTGTAGGATTGGATAAAAGTTCGATAAGCGTTTGTAGCCTATTATACCAAAATTTTACAAACTAATATTAAGCCCTAACTTTATTTTTAACAAATTTGTAATCTTTTGTGTTGGATATTTTAGGCTGATGAATTGATTATCAATGATTATCAAAGACCAAAACCAAAGATCGTAACAAAAGTATTTGATGAATTTAAATTATGATATCGTAATGTTAATAAACTTATAATGAAACATGTACCGTATTTTCGCGAAATAACGGGCATGGGCGTTATTTAGAGGTTTGGCCCGAATTAAGCTTAATTTAGGCCGAAATTTGTAATTTCACCCCTGCGCGTTATTTCGCGAAAATACGGTACTAATAAAAATCTTTGCACAAAATCATCGATACAAAAATTTAGTCGGTTAAAAATCATTTCTTCTACAAAATTTATAAATCATACTTGAGAATTTTATTATAATTCGTTTCAAGAGAGTGAAATGCAAGGTCTTAATTAAAATATAAACAGATCGTATATAAAATTTGAAATGATTATTAAAGGTTGATTTTACAGATTTAATCCTATTCGATTATGTAATTTTAGTAAATTTTACGATTTTAGTTGTTTTGTAAATGAAAATTTGGTCACCATTATTACAATGAGTCATTATTCTGTGTCATGCTGCAGTTAATTCTGATAAAGACTAGTATCTTTTACTTATTCTCTTTTTTGAGGTATCTTAATTCAACGCTCTTTTTTTTTCAGGTAGATTGCGATGTTAAATGATTGAAGGTCACGATCTGTAATCTATTTCTTTTATTTTCTCTAACAATTAGGTCATTATGATGTTATACCAATAAAGAAATTTTATAATCAAGGGAAATCGTTACTAAAGTATCACACTTATACTGGCTCTTTTCGAAATTATGATCTCAACAAGTTGTTTTATTATAGGACGAAGGGGTAGCATTTTATACTTTCACGCTATCAAATATTTTGCTATTATAAAACTAAAAAAAAATTAAAATCTAACTGTAGTATTATCGGGAAGCATATTTTTTAGCTCAGCCTGCTCTGCTGAGCTAAAATTTTTCTGCAGGTTCATATTTTTTAATGTGCCATTTTTACAGAAGGCTTCGATTAATGTTTTTCCTCCTTCAAACCCAAGCTAATTATCCACAATGTCCAAGGAGGTTAGGGAATCGTTTTTCAAAAGACCAGTCGGTAATGCTTTTCCACCTTCTGATTTAAGATTATTTCGAGCAAGGATCAGAGAAGTCAAGGTGGTGTTTTTGCAAAGTAGATGTTAAGTCCTTTTCTTGCATCTTCTTCAATAACGTAGTTTTGCGGTTTAAGGATTTTAGTGACTTGTTCATGGTAAGTACGTCGTGCCAAAATCTTTATGTTGTGTAGTTCGCAGACTTAACATCGTAAGCTTTCTGTTGTGGTGAAGAAAATTGTTGTCGATATTTAAAGAGTTTATGTTATCGTCGAATTTCCTTAGCCAATCACAATCGAGGAAGGTAGTTATCTAAGTTTTTACTGAAGATATCTCGGCAACCACCTACAGTATCTAAATTTTTTTATTCTAATTCTATATGTCTGTATAATTAAAATAATATATATATATATATCATCGATTTTAGATAGGTAGTTGTCGAGATATCTTCGCTCAAAATTTAGAAAAAACTTATATTATCAAAAGCTGTGGCTAAGTTTTTCTCGACAACCACCTATCTAAAATCGATGAAATTTTTTATTTTAGATATCCTTGTTAAAAATTAGAAAAAAATTAATTACAATTGAATAATTTCTCCCAATTAGAATGCGACTATTCAAGTAGAATCTCATTTTAGTGACAAATTTTTTCGCCATGGCTAGGGCGGATAATATTAGTTTTTATATTGTTTATTAATCATCGATTTGTGTAATTTATGAAAATCATATGATATGTGACATATATACATATATCGATCGAATTTTTGTCGCGTAAACTACTGAACTATCTCAACATGAAACGTCTCAACAAGATACTACTACTACCTCTCGAAACCTACCACATTATCTTTAAAAACTTTGACCGTAAAAATTTATTTTCGTGCGCACTTGTAAACCGTCAATTTAGTAGAATAATTATACCAATATTGTGGGGTGAGCCAACACACCTTGCAAACAAAAGGCTTATAGGAAGATTGCTTTTAATGTTAAGCCCTGAAGAACAAGCTTCGTTGCAAATTACGCTCCCAAGACAACCGAAGCCGCTATTTGAATATACAAGTTATATTAAAGCTGTCCCCGCGTGTTTCTATTCTGGAGTTCACGATTTGCTTGTTACTTATCTTCGTTATAATGGACTTAATAGAAATAAAGAAGAAAAAAGTGAGCTTGAACATGCAATTAAATGTTCTTTAATTAGAATGTTTTTACGAACAGGCGAAAATCTTAAATGTTTACATCTAGAAGAAATTAATTGTGATCAAATAACGTTTAATAACAATACAGTTACTTCTGTAGAACTATGTCTCACGAGTAATGAATTTCGATCTAAGACAATAAATGGATTAGTAACGAACCTCTACGAGAATTCTACATTGATTTCTTTGGAACTTGTGTCAATTCGATTTAAGGATAAAGATTTGGAAACATTAGCGAAGGTTCTTGCTAAAAACACTGTTATAAATTCTTTAGGTTTTCACCAATGTTATATTAGCTTCCGAGGAGGAAGGGCGTTAGCAAATCATTTTCGCTATAACACCACGTTAACTTCCTTAATTCTTTGTGGAAATTTATGTTACAGACGTTTTAAATCAAGATTAGGGAAAAAATTATTAGCACAAGGACTTGCTATGAGCAATTCACTAAAATATTTGGAAGTTCAATATTATGTTATTTTATCATACGTAATAGAAACATTTGCTGATGCGCTTTGTAAAAACACCACCTTGAATTCTCTAGTTCTTTGTGATAATGATCTTGGATCAGAAGGTGGAAAAGCATTAGCAGATGTACTTTGCAAAAACACTACATTAACCTCTTTGAATATCAGCGATAATAATCTTGAATTTGAAGGAGGAGTAGCATTAGCTTGTGCACTTCGCAAGAACATTTCGCTAAAAGATTTGACGCTACAACGTAATAATTTTGGATCACAAGGAGAGGAAGCGTTAAAAGATATACTTGTGAATACCACACTGACTTCTTTTAATCTTTAAAATATAGATAGTTTTTCTTTTTTTAATTTTTTTTTTTTAGTTTTAATCTTTAAAATATAGATGGTTTTTTTCTTTTTTTGATTTTTTTTTTTAGTTTTCTTTTTTTTTCAATTCTTCACCCTTTCTCGTGATTTACATGTAATTAATAACAATCAAAATAAATTGCAATCTTTATAATTTTTATAATAAATATCAGGCTTTAATTTTTTTTCAATTATAAATATAACTTGAGTTCAATAAGGGAGCTTTTAGATCTAGGTCGTGACGTAACGTACGTACGTCACTGTAACGATGCGTAATAACGCATATCTGCAAGTTAATTTAGATCTTACGCGTTATTTCGGAACGCATGTGTGCGATAATTCGAATAATTAAGAATTTTACTGAGGCTATGTATGTGGGGCGCGTTATTACGGGGCGCGCATGGGCGTTATTTTGAGTTAAATGTGCGATTTTCAAAAAATGGAATTTTCGAATAATGTTCATGTGCGTTATTACGCGCCTGTACGGTAAATAAATTTCCTTGACGAGTGATTTCCTTTGTTTTCTTTTTAGTTAAAATGGGAAATGTAGTTGCTCATGAGGATGTTAAAACCACAAATCAACAAATCAAAACCTATCGAAACAAATAAGCCATAAATTTTAACGTCTACATCTTAAAATTGATTAAGCAATCAGTACTTGGTGCTCTAAATAAGTGATTCAATCTAACACCTAAACAGGTGTATTATACACGCATCTGTATATTTCTTTTGCTTGCTCCAAAGTAACGGATGTGTTATTATGAATGTCTTAAAGTTTAAAATACATTTCAAAAAATATAAATTGAATAAAAATTGAATTAAAAACTGATTTCAAAAAATATGAAAAACTATCTTCTAATATTCAATTCAAAAGTCGTATATACGTTTCGTTTTAATATCCAATTCAAAAGTCGTATGATATGTTTCGTTTGTTAACTTATTCTAGCAGCGGCTTTGATTTCCATCGTGCCAAAAGTTAATCCAAATTCTACAGGAAGATCGCACCCTAGTGATGGCCTTTTGGGTAAAGTGATTTTTAGGATACCAAGTAATCGCATTTCATTATTATTAATGTATTTAGGTCGACCTTGTAATGTACATGAAAATATCAACAATTTGTTACGTACTATCAAATGAAAAATGACATAGTAAAAAGAAAAATCTTAAAAATACTTGTTCAAGTATTTTCCAACAGCATTATCCGCAATTCCTGTCTATTAATGGTACTGTAATACGTTCGGCTCTAAGAAAGAGACATGTATATCATCCAATCACGTTTAATGAAAATCATCTGACATACCAATTGTTTGGTTCGGACTGATTAACAGAAACGTTTGTTCTAAAAGATCAAACTTCCAAATCTTGTTCTAAAATATTGTTACAGTAGAACGACATTAATTGCTATAAATTGCGAATTATTGCTTATTCATAATAGAAAATAACTTACCGAAGTCCAAGTGGATCATTACAAATGTCAAATCTATTTTTACCTCAATTCCGTACGATTTCAAGACTCGACTTTCAACAAGACCCATATTTAATCCGTATGCTACTGCATCTTTAACAATAGCTGCTATCGGCTGTTGAGGCATGCAAAATAGGGTACACGTCCTTGGAATCTATCCCTAATTCTTTTTATCAAGTATTTTTGATTCATAAGACCCTCCTACCAAGTTACATTGCACCTGCTAGAAAGCTTTAGCAATTGTTCCAATTGTTTATTAAATTAACTTCTATCGTTGGACCAACCATTTTTTTCTGTCTCAAAATTCAACCCGATAGCCTAAGTTAATTCTTTCGGCTCCCAACGATATATTTAATCAATGGGCATGCATTTTCGAGATAGTTTCAAACTTGTCAGGATCTCCAGTGAAAGGAAGTTTTTTTACATGAAATAGTTTTTGTAATTCTCATAAACATATGTTCGTAACTTTTGTAATGACGAGGAATATTATTATGAATTAATGGAGCTTACTCTTCAGCATTTAACCTTAAAAGGAATGTTTCTACGAGTCTTTCGTTTTAAAATGGTGTCCGTAAGAGTATATATTTGGGTGTACGACATCAGTTTGGGTTCTATTAATCAAATCTATGTACCAGGAACGGAGTACGAAGTACGTAGTGTATGGTTTATAGGCAAGTTAAGTGGTGTGGCTATTTTGATTCCGATTGGACAACCCGTTCACATGATTTCATCTCTATTTGTATGTCTCTGCCTATATCAGGAATGGCGTGCAACGCCTTGGATTTCCTGTATTTTGCATAACTGGGTTAGCATGCGTTATACATATGTACTACGTACCAGTATTTGATATCTGGTTAGTAATCATGTTTATGCATGATCGACAATCAAGTGAGTATTAAGATTGTTAATGTTAAGGGTATAGTGTAATACAATATAAATATAAATGGCAAATTATTTGTTGTACATACAAAAATCGTTAGTTTATAT